GCAGGAGCCGCAGGTCACCAGCCCGGGGCTGTGGCACTGCTGGGGGAAGGCGGGCGCGGGGCTCTTCATCCCGCCGGGGATGTAGCACTGCTGCTTGTACTGGTAGCCGTAGTAGGACATGGCTCCGGGGATCCTGGAAAACACAGGGAGGGAGCTGAAGGAATTCCCTGCTGGGCTCTGGCGCAGGGATTGGAGCTCTCGGCTCTCCGCCCGAACTGCACAGCCTCGCTTTTCCCTAAAAATACCCTCCCGCAGCTCCAGCTGGTGAGAGGAGCAGGGTAATCCCTGGGAAAAGGGGAATTTCTGGACTTGTGTTTCTATCTGGGGTTAGTGCCGAGGTTCTCAGTTCTTTCAGACAAGGACTCTCATTTATTTCCTTTCCAGGTGCCTCACCTGACACTGGAATTTCTTTCTGCCGGCAGCAGGAAAAGCGAAGGATGGGATCGCCCTTGCACCCCGCGGTTGGGGGGCAGTTGCTGCTGATGTCCTGAACCCCTCCTCTCATCCCAGGTTCCCCTGTCCAACCTGGCCCTGGACACTTCCAGGGATGGAGAATCCATGGAATCACCTGAACCGGGACCTCTCCACCTTCACAGGGAACAATTCCTTCCCAAAATCCCACCCAAATTCCCCCTCTGTCCCTGCAGGTCCTGAGGAAAAGTCCTTCTCCAGCTTCCCTGGAGTCCCTGCAGATCCTGGGAGAGGCTCTGAAGTATCCACATTCCCAGCCCGGCAAAAACTGATCCAAATCTGGATAATTATCACCTGAACTACTCAAACAAATGGCCTGTGATGAACGAGAAATCTAGAATTCAATTTTAGCAAAGCAAATAAGAGATACGGATCCAAGAAGAGGGTGAAGAAAGCTCACATCCCAAACCGGGCCAGGTTCTGTAAATCTCAGGCTCGACTTTAAAATCATTTATCTGTCTCTGCCTTTTTTAAAAAATAGCTACAAACCCAAGGAAGAGCCTTTAACAGCAACAACCCTTCTTAATTCCGAGGGTCAGGGTATTCCTGCAGGATCCAGATTCCGGTTCCGAGTGCCAGCAAAATGGTATTTTCTTAGGCGTAGAAATAGGGAAATAACTTACCGAGCTCAAGGTGGAGAGTAAGGACTGGACGGAAAGCTTGGAAATGGGGGTTTTTATATGGAGTTTTTATAGTCCTTCAGGCTTCGCGGAAAACCTGAGCCACTGAGTGCCAAATCCTAATAAACCACAGCAGGGAATGTGTTCATGTGCAACTTTTCCAGTGGCTGTAATTATTCTGCTCACTCGGGCTCGTTAAGGCATTGTTATCCCCAAATCCCGTGAAAAACACCTCACACCCTGCGGGCTCTTTCCATTTTAGAGCTTTATGGGGAGAAGGATGAGCCGCCTTTTATCCCGCTGACCTCGTTAGGTACCTAAAGAAATCCATCCCTCTCCTCCTAAAGCTCCTTTTGTGGGAGCAGCAGTGGGGCAGCAGCGCTGGGGGAGTGGGAATTGATGGTTCTGGCTCCGTTTTTCCTGCAGGGAGGCAGCTGGGACACGGAGGAATGAAGCTTTGGGAAGCAGGATTGGGAGGGATGTGCCCGAGGCTGGCACCGAGCCGCTCCTTGTGTGGCTGATCCTCAAACTTTGTAAGAGTCATTCCCCTGATTTTGCTCCAAGCCGCATCCAGCCTGGCCTTGGACATTTCCAGGGATGGGGAATCTGTGAGATAACCTGTGCCGGGGCCTCCCCACCCTCCCAGGGAAGGATTCCTTCCCAATGCCCCATCTTAACCTCCCCTCTGTTGGTCTGAACCCGTTCTCGTTATCCTGTCCCTGCAAAACATTTCACCCCAGCGATAACAGAACAGGGAGTTCTTCCCTCGTGACCCCACAGTCTCACCCTACGACAATCCCAAAGGCTCTGGGAGCATCCAAACAGCATCGGGAACATCCCAGAAGCTTTAGGAACATCCCAGCAGCTCTGGATTCATCCCAACAGCTTTGGTAACATCCCAACAGCTCTGTGATCATCCCAAAGGCTCTGGGAACATCCTAACAGCATTGGGAATATCCTAACAGCATTGGGAACATCCTAACAGCTTTGGGAACATCCTAACAGCTTTGGGATCATCCCAGCAGCTTTGGGATCATCCCAACGGCTCTGGGATCATCTCAAAGGCTTTGGGAACATCCCAGAAGCTTTGGGAACATTCCAACAGCTCTGTGATCATCCCAAAGGCTCTGGGAACATCCCAAAGGCTCTGGGACCATCTCAACAGCTTTGGGATAATCCAAATTACTCTGGGATAATCCCAAAGGCTCTGGGACCATCCGAACAGCTCAGCATTGTGCCCAGAGCTCGGCTCTGTCCCATTGCATTGCACTGGGCCCCCGGAAGGGATCCTGCTGCCGACGCGTGATGTCATTAGGGTAATTAACAGCCTTTGATGTGCTGGGACGCGGCCCTGAAATTGTCTCTGTGCTGGCGTTGCTTGTAATGGGGCTGAGCCGGGCCGGCTTGGCTCGTGTCAGACATTAATGAGCGTTCGTGAGGGGTTTATGAGGTCCTGTTATGAAGGTGTTTTTCAATGTCCTGCTCCTGCTTGGTGTGCGGGTAAACACCGGGACGAGCCAGCTCAGCACCTCCGGAGTGCCTTCATTAACCTGGAGTGTCTTAATTTATCACCAGAATGTCTTCATGTATCAGCAGAACGAAGCTGAGTTTTGGGGTGGGAGCAAGCTCTGCTAAAGGTGTTTTTCCCTCTTTCCAGCTCAGAGCATCCCTTTAAATAAAAAAAGCCCGGCTGGATGTGGTGGTTTAGCTGTGGTTTTATGTAATTAGTAAATAAATATGCCACGTTTTTATGTGCTGGAAAGGGGAGCAGAGTTATCAGGGAGTTGTGGGGTGGTTTGGGTGGGAAGAACCTTCCAGAACATCTCATTTCACCCCCTGCCGTGGGCACGTGGGAGGAGGAATTGCCCAAACTCCTGTCAGGAAGTTTGGAGCCCCCATGCCTGGAGGCGTCTGAGGAATTCCTGGATGTTGGGATTCCCAGGTGGGGATTGGGCACAGCTCAGACTCCATGACCTTGGAGCTCTTTTCCAAGCTTGGGGATCCTGGGATTCTGTTTTTGGTGTTCCATTGGTCTCAGGGATGGGTTGGATCCCTGGTCCCTGCTTTTTTGAGCGCTTCACCCACACCGGTGTCCTCAGGGCTCTCCCTTCTCCTGGGCTCAACTCTCACTTGATCCTCTCAGTTTTATCTTTACAAAGCCGCTGAATTTTGTGTTTTGCATCTTTAGAGGAGCTGGAATTGGATCCTCCAGCCTGTCTGAGCTGGTAAATTGAGCTGACACTGCTCTGTTGTGCTCCTCACTCAGGTGCTGAGCTTTGGCCACGTGTCACCTGTTGATTCAGCACTTTCACTTCCTGGTTGTGTCCGGGCTATTACGACTCCTGTTAACAATGATACCGTGACAACATCGTTAATGAGCTTCTGTGATGTGTTTGGGAACACCTGCAGAAAGCCTTGACATGTTTCTTGTCAGGGTTAATGTTCACCTTCACAGAAATCCACCCTGCAGTGACAGGAACCCCGAGCGGAGGGAGCAAATCCCAGCACTGCGGATTCCTCCCACGCTGGAGTGAGGATCTGGACTTTTAATTATTAATAAATCTCTAAGATAAGATTTAACATTTAATCTTCAGCTGGCTGAGACCACTAATTAGGTATTAATTATGATGTTTTTGACTTTGGGGATGAATTGCTGGCCAACTTAAGCTGAGGTGAAGGCAGATGTCGCAATCCCCATGGTTATCTTCCATTATTGTGGTTGTCCCACCCCTGGACGTGTCCAAGGCCGGGATGGACAGGGCTTGGAGCAGCCTGGCAGGTGGAATGGGATGGTCTTGGAAGTCCCTTCCAACCCAAGGGAGGAGGCTTTGAGGTGAGGTTTAATAAAAGAGAGCAGAAGTAGGAAAATACTTTTGTTTTTGAAACCAAATGGGAAGCAGAATGGCGCAGATGCTGGTGGGAGTGTCCGTCCACCTCACACCGCTGCCATCCTCGGCATCTGCCCCTGACTCCACTCCTGGCTGTCCCACAGCCTCCTCCTCAGGTTTTGCAGGATGACAACCCCAGCCAGCAGCTGGGATTCATCAGCAGTTGGGATTCCAGAGGCGTCTCCCACTCCCAACGTGAGCTGTTCTTCCGACGGCTTTAGGTGCCCTTTGCTCGGAGAAGTGACTCCCTGGAAAAAATGCCTGACAAGGTCTTGCCTTGGTCACACCCCGTTTATGGCCCTTTTTGCCATTCCCCAGATCCAGCTGTGATTTATGGTTCTGAGAATATGGGGTTTTTAATGCAATAATAAATGTGGTCTTGCCATTCTTTCTGTTTTATTCTTAAAACTTCTAAAGGGATTGGGTGCTCGGTGTCAGGTTGAAAGAGCTGTCCTGACTTATTTGGGTCTATAACTATAAAATTCAGGATTTTTACAGTGTGACAGAGCTTTGATCAGACTTTTTACTAGTCTAAACAACCCAGAACAGGGGTTATTCATCTTTCATCAAATATTTAATTCAAGAACCCAGAACTCCACCTTATCCCTCACTTTTTCATCTCCTCCTGGGCTGAGTCGAGGATATTTTTATCCAGAAAAACGTCTGGTTCCCCCCTGCCAAGGAATGGGTCCAGTCATGGAGAAGATGAAACCTAAACCCCATAAACATTTTGCCTTTGAGATGCAAGAGACAAAGAATCCCCTCCCTATAAAGCTGAAATTGCAGAGTGGGGAAGGCAGTAAAGGACAGGTCATGCGGGACACAAGGACAAACCAGTAATTAGCAGGGGTGATTTATCTAAAGCAATTGACACCCGTTAACAAAGCTGGATCTGGAAAGAATCCTGGTTAGTAATTGATTGGGAAGTTCTGCATGTGGGTGATTCACGTGCTGGGCACTTTGAGGCCGGGTATAAAAGCGCTTGACCTCACATCTCGTGCCATCATTTCTCTTGTCTCACTTCTCTGGTGCCGTAGGTAAGTCAATTCCTAAACTCCTGAACTCCTGAATTCCTGAATTCCTCCTCTAACCAAGCCTTTGAGTGTGGTTCTGGGATCAGTCTGACGTTCTCCTGGTGGAAACCACTGGATGTGGCACTTGGTGCTCTGGTCTGGCTGAGAAGGTGGGGATTGATCACAGGTTGGACTTGGTGATCCTGGGGGGCTTTTCCAACCTCAGCCACTCTGGGATTGGGGAAATGATTCCATCTATGACTGTTCAGCCACTGGGAAATGCAGATCTGGGTGAGATCTGAGTAACATTCCATGAAAACTTTTTCCTTTTGTGTTCAGTAGACAATTTAGGGCTGTATTTTAGGTGCTGAGCTATGAGAATTCTCCTTGTCCCTTGAGCCTCTTTGTAGCCTTTTCTTCTCATGTTTGATTATGAAACCGATGTGAATTTTGTTTTATTTTGTTTTCCTGCTCTTCCCTTGCCCTGCAGATCCCCATCCCCGAGCCATGGTTCACTCCCTGAGCCCCTGCACCGACGGCAGCGCCTCCCCCTGCGGCGTGGCCGTGCCCCAGCCCGTGGCCGACTCCTGCAACGAGCCCTGTGTCCGGCAGTGCCCCGACTCCACGGTGGTCATTTACCCTCCCCCGGTGGTCGTCACCTTCCCCGGGCCCATCCTCAGCACCTTCCCGCAGCAGAGCGTCGTGGGGTCCGCGGGAGTCCCCGAAGTCACAGCCGGAGCTGGAGCCGGTGTCGGAGCCGGTGTTGGAGGTGCTTTCGGTGCCGCCCGAACCCCTGGAGCTTCCCAAGTTTGTGGTGGGGCCAGGTGGGCCCGGGGGTACCCAGTTGGGAGCTGCAGACCCTGCTGCTAAAGCCGGGGCACGGCCGCTGGAAGAGGGTGGCCGGCAGGACGCGGATCCGCGGCTGAGCTCCGGAGCACGGCGTTCAGGGAGAGCTGAGCATTTGGGGCGGCATTAAAAGCATCTGTGGATGTTTGAATGCCTCAAAAATCCATCCCCATCCTTCTACCTTTCCTGATTTTCTGTCTGTAAAGCTTTCCTCTCTTTCCAAGACCTCTGTTCTCAAAGCTATGGACTGTTCCTGATTCCCTGGTGGTTTTTTTGGGATCTTTGTGGTTTCCCACTGTCAGTAGGTTTAGATTACATTTTAGGGAGAAATTAGGAGGGAGTTTTTCCTGTGAGGCCCTGGCACAGGGCGCCCAGAGAAGCTGTGGCTGCCCCATCCCTGGAAGTTTCCAAGGCCAGGTTGGATGGGGCTCGGAGAAACCTGGAATAGTGGGAGATTCCCTGCCCATGGCAGGGGTGGAGCTGGATCACCTTTAAAATCCCACCCAAACCGTTCTGTGCTTCTGTGACTGTGGCAAAGTCAAGGATCTCATCCGAGATCCACTTCAGATCTATTTTTAAGCTCTTTCCATGGCTACTGATGGATAAAAACGGTTCTGCAGTGCCCCAGCCCCTGCTCTGCTGCCGTGCTGCGTGATCAGGGCTGGGTATCACCACAGGAGAAGCAACCCCAGACGTTCCCTGAGTCACTCTTGTGGGCAATTTGTAACCTGTGCTGTGTCTCACCCGTTCCTCCTCATTAAACCAGACCTTGCAGCAGGTTATTGGCGTGTGGGTGTCTCTGTGTGTTCCCCGTCCTTGTCCTGCTGCACCAGCCTGATCCTATCACCAGGAGAGCGAAATTCCTGAGGGATCTGGCCCAGACGTCCCTTCCTTCCCCACATTTCCAGTCTCTGTGGGGATTTTTGATCAATTTTGGCTTTCCTGGCACCTGTTCCTGGTGTCCTCAGGCTCGGCCTCCCCGTCTCGGCAGTGACACGAGCAGAGGGGTTGGAAAAGCCCTCCAGGATCGAGTCCAAGCCGTGCCCAGTCCCCACCTGGTCACTCAGACCAATGTCCAGGCCTTCCTCGGACACCTCCAGGGATGGCCACTCCCTAGGCAACCCCTTCCAAAGCCTGGCCTCCCTTTTCCAGGAGGAATTTTCCCAAATTTCCCACCCTGAGCCTCCCCTGGCACCACTGGAGGCTGTTCCCTCTCCTCCCGTCCCTGTTCCCTGGGCTCAGATCCCAATTCCCCCCTGGAAGAGCCTGAAATTCCCCCTTTTCTCCAGGCTGAGCCCCCCCAGTTCCCTCAGGATTTTCCAGACCCTTTTCCAGCTGCTCCAGCCCCGTTCCCATCCCTGGCCCTGCTCAACGTCTCTCAGCACAACCTGGACACGACGGTGATGCTCCCTCATGGAACTGAGGATTTCTTTGGGAATAAATTGGCAATAAACCCTTCCCAAGCTCTCCTGGCTGGCTTTGAAATGTTATGTAGCGTGTCAGGAACAGCGCCAGTGTCATCAGGGAGATGTGGGAATGTGGGATTATTCCAGGGCAGTCACTCTTTGGGGAATTATTACCCTCATGTGGAAGGAAAACAAAGTCGCCCAGGCACTGTAATAATGTGTAATTAACGCTGGTGTGCTCTGGAGCAGGTGATTAAAGCAGATTCTCCCCAGCCACACAGTTCTTGCAAAAGAGAAACCCCCCAAACCTCAAAAACCAGGGATCTTTATTGTTGGGAATATTTGGGAGTAAGCTGCAGTTTATTGAGGGCTCTCAAGATTGCCTAAGTTGAGATCTGCATTTACCACAATCCAGAAAAATCAGTGAAATGATGGAATTCTGCCAGGGGGTTTTGATAGAAGTATTTTTGATGCATTTTTGTTCCTCTTGATATAAAAGCCCCTAGTGTGAAATGTCCTTTCAGAGATAAAAGATATTGGGTGTCTCACTAAGAAAATTCAACGCCTTTTTAAGATAGAAGCATTTGCTAATATCTCTTAGGTTCATTATTAGGCCTAATTATTTGGTTTAATTAATAATTGCGGGTTAACAATATCCATCTAAATATGGTGAATTTTGAAATTCTTGTTTCCAACACTGCCAATTTTTGTTTCCTGCATCATGCCCCGATTTCCCTTTTCCTGAGAGGCTGCACTCTTTAACAAATAATTTGAAAATTCAGTTTGGGCCATGATTGGGTGCCCAGCTCATTTGGGATGGGTCTGGTCTCTGGGGAGGATCCTCAGCCTCTCATGGAATCTTTGTGCTGGAGGCATCTCCTGCGGCATCAGCCCTGTGGTTGGTTCCCAAGGGAACATTTAAATGGATAATTCCCCAGTGAATACGTCCTGGAATTACAGGAGTTGGTTTCCAGTTATTTAAATTACCCGGCTCTCACCTGTTATGATGATATCGCAGCCAGGCCGCAAGTTCCTCTCCCCATCCAACTTTTCCTGAGCCTCAGGACAGGAAGGAATTCTGGGTTTGGGGTCTGGAAGGGGCGTACGAGGAAGTTGTGGGTGAGCTGATGGTCAGAGCCACAGGAAAGGGGGAATTTCAGGGGGTTATTGGGAAGGAATTCTTCCATGTGAGGGTGGCACAGGATATTCCATGGTTTCTTCATCCCTGGAAGTGTCCCAGGCCAGGCTGGAGCCACCCGGAATGGGATGACCTTTAAGGTCTCTTCACCCACCCAGAACAGGTGTAGGAGAAACTCGAATGTTCCTGAGATATCAGGACAGATCCATGGAAAATGAGCTTTGGTGCTGCCAGCTGATGCTTGGGAAGCCCTGGGAGGGGTCTGGGCTGCAATTCCATGATGATCTGGCACCTCCTGAACGCTCCTGAGGAGCTGGAATGAACAGGTGAGGAAACGTCCCGTCCCTGTTTGGTGACTCCTGCGACAGGAGCATCTGGGGTGAGGAATTTTGCACTCCAGTGTTCCCAGAAGGTTGACCTGCAGCAGAGGAGGAGATCCTGGAAGTGCCCTGGATCCCTGGAGCAGGGGGAGGTGCCGGGACACCCTCAGAGCTGCGGCATTCAAAGCAGGAAGGGGAAGTGAGGTGGGAGCCAGGTGGCTACAGGTCAGCGATGTGGCGGGAGGTGACGGCGGGTGACAGGGCTGGGACGGGCAGGAAATCACCACCTGTGGGTCCTGTCCCCCAGGGAAAGTGCTGGCGCCTTGGGAATGATCCGAGGAGGAAGTTGGAAGGGAAGGACATCACAAAATGGTGCTGTGCTGGCAAACTTGGGCAGGGATGGAGGTCAAATGGGACCAAAAAACTCAGAATTTCACCCTGATCTTTGGCTTCCTGGGTTTTATTCCACCTCCCCTCCTGTGTGTGGCTGCCCAAGCCCTTCCACGCTCTCCATGCAGGCAGGAGAAGCCTTTGAGTGCAGGGAGGTAAACTGAGTTTACCCTGTTGGGAGACTCCACCACTTCCTAATGTTTTCCCCGGGGAACCCAGCCCATTCCTCTGCTGACAGCAGAAGCGTTGCAAAACCTCTCTGAAAGGCTTTGCCACCTTCAAAGGGCTGCTCTGATTTACTGATCTACCGTGCTCTGCTTGGGGGGAGGCTCCTCCCTGACCCCCCTTCCTGGGGCACCCCGATCTGGGGCTGTCCTCAAATTGGGACCGCCAGACCTCGCTCTTGGCTGGGGCTGCTCCTTCCCAGACAGGGAAATGGAGCTCTGGAGCTCATCTCTGCTTCTTGGAACTGGTTCCAGGTCAGGGTTTCGGGGAAGTCAATGACACGGTGGAAAGAAATGGATGTTGGGCTGGAGGATCAGCGGTTCTGCTGACTGCTCCTGGTTTTCTGCCCATGGAACGGCTTCTCCGACCTCCTCCCTTAATTATCTTCTCGAGCCTTTCCTCTGCTTTGCTCTGAGAGCTGGGAAATGCAGAAATGCTTCTGCAGGAGGCCACCATGGCAAGAGGAAGGATGGCTAATATTCCGAATTTAAATAATCTTCAGTATTCTAAACCTAAATCATCTTAATTGTTCTAAATCGAAATAATCTTTAAAATTCAAATCTAAATCATCTTTAGTGTTTGAAACCTAAATAATTTTTAATATGTTAAATCTAAATAATCTTTGGTGTTCTACACATAAATCATCTTAAATATTCTAAATCTAAATAATACTTAGTATTTGAAATCTAAATAATTTTTAATATGTTAACTCTAAATAATCTTTGCTGTTCTACACATAAATCATCTTAATTATTCTAAATCTAAATAATCTTTAATATTTGAAATTGAAATAATTTTTAATATGTTAAATCTAAATAATCTTTGGTGTTCTACACATAAATCATCTTAAATATTCTAAATCTAAATAATACTTAGTATTTGAAATCTAAATAATTTTTAATATGTTAACTCTAAATAATCTTTGCTGTTCTACACATAAATCATCTTAATTATTCTAAACCTAAATAATCTTTATTATTCAAAACCTACATAATCTTTAATATTCTAAATCTAACTCATCTTCGGTACTCTAAACCTAAATAATTTTTAATATTCCAAATCTGAATAATCCTTGGTATTCTAAACCTAAATAATCTTTTAGTAGTCTAAATCTAAACCATCTTTAATATTTTAGACACGAACCATCTTTAGTATTCCAAATCCAAGTCAGGGCTCCCGAGTCTCCCGAGGTGGCACGGCAGGGGCTGGCAGGAACTCCCTGAAGAACCGGCTGCTCCATCTGCGGAGGAGCTGAAGCCTCCAGCGCCCGGCCATGGCTTGGCTGCCTTTGGTCTTTCCTCCTGGGTGTCTTTAACCCTGATTGTCACCCATTTCCTGCCCTGGACGAGACTCCCCCTCAATCTCTCGTCCTTGCGGTTCATTGCCTGAGAACCAAGGCCAGCTTTGATCCAGGAGCCGCTCTCGGCGGGGAAATCGATCGGCCGATGCCTTTTCTTGGTGAAGTGTTTGGGTAAACCCAAGGTCAAGGGTTAGTTAAGGTTTCTCCTTCTGGGGGAAATGAGTCAGGAGCCATTGAGATGGAGATGTGGTGACAGTCCCTACCATCCGAGTCTAGACTGGTGTCTCCTTGCAGGGCTCCCTGGGGTGGCTGGGGGTCCCTTAAAAATGCGGGCTGAGCCCAGACAGAAGCAGAGCAGACATTTGAAGCTGCAACTAGAGCAATTTAATTGAAAATGAGAAGCAGCGAGGGACAGAAAGAAGTTAGCAGAGATACAAAAGGGGCTTTGGCAAGCAGAGCGCTCCTGATGGTGCGTGATGGTTTTCCTGGTGGAAGTGGTGGAGTTTTCCAGTCCAAATGCCTTTCTTTGTCGTGTTCGCTGTCAGGTGAGGGGCAGCAGGGACACGGAACGGGAGCTCCTCTGCTAAAAGTCACCTTCGGTCAGAGTCGGACAAAACCAATTTTGTTGGAGAAACACAACTTTTGTTCCACTACACAAAGTGGCTGGGGGTGAATTTTAAAAGCTCTTTCCTCACACCCAAAAGTCTCTTTCTGCTCCCAAAAGTGCTCTAAAGGTGCCTCAGCCCTGTGAGAGTGATAGTTGGAGAGACAGGAGATCCTACAGAGGGTTACACACGGAGTATCCTACACAGCCTGGCGCCCACACATCCCCCAGAGTCAGAAACCTAACCCATGCATCCGTGTCCTGCATTTCATCCCGTGGGCGCTACTCCTGCTGGGAACAGCTCAGATGGCTCTGTCCCCAAGCTGAATGGACAAGGGGAGGCTTAATCCGAAGTTTCCAAGGCTACCCAAGCTACCCACACAACCCAGGAGCCTGGGGAGCCCCTCGATCTTCCCGGAGAGCCTCCCAACAACATCCCCATTGAGGTTGGCGTAGATGATTCCGCTGATGTTCCCAGAGGGGTTACAGAAGCTCCTGACGTTCCTGAAGGACGGGGGGATATCTTGCGACTGGTCCCGGCAGAAGCTTAAGGAGCGCCCGGAGAAGAAGTTGGGGCTCCCAAAGCCGCCAAAGTTGTCGCTGCTGGCGTGGGCGCAGCAGCCGTTGTCACAGCACTCCTTGAAGGAATTCATCCTTTGTTGATTTGGAGAGCCTGGAACACACACCCAGAAACAAAATTTATGGGCTGCAGAGGGCAGAGCAAAAGCTCCGACTCGGTCCCTCCTGTGCATCGTTTTAATTAACTTATTTATTACTTAACTCTTAATTAACTCATTTATTTTTGTAATCTCTTCAATCCCAAACAACTTTGCTGTTTTTTTTTCCCCCTTCAACATTTGGAAACTGCTGACTAAACGTAGCGAATGAGGGTTTAGCCAGCCGGGAGCTGAGCTTTCCCACCCCAGAAGTCAGAGAAATGTAAAAAATGAAAGAAAAATATAATAAATATAACCCAGAACTTAAAATTACTTTTTACCACAAAATCATGGCAGCAAATTTCCAGTTTTCAGCACTTTAAAGCCTAATATTAAAAAAGCACAAGAAAGAAGAGCAAAAAGCTTTGAGTAGAATAATTCCTTGAGATTGTAGGGAATTTTTTGTTTGTTTCTGGCTCTAAAATGACAATAAATTTCAATAAATAAATATAAACAGGTACCTGTATACAGACACTGGTTATATGTTATAAAGACAAAGCAGTACCTACTAAATAAATAGCTAACTAAAGATTATGAATTTAATATATATTCTTATATTTATTTATATTTCTATTTACATTTACATTTGTATTTGTATTTCTATTTACAGTTATTTATATTTATATTTATATTTATATTTATATTTATATTTATATTTATATTTATATTTATATTTATATTTATATTTATATTTATATTTATATTTATATTTATATTTATATTTATATTTATATTTATATTTATATTTATATTTATATTTATATTTATATTTATATTTATATTTATATTTATATTTATATTTATATTTATATTTATATTTATATTTATATTTATATTTATATTTATATTTATATTTATATTTATATTTATATTTATATTTATATTTATATTTATATTTATATTTATATTTATATTTATATTTATATTTATATTTATATTTATATTTATATTTATATTTATATTTATATTTATATTTATATTTATATTTATATTTATATTTATATTTATATTTATATTTATATTTATATTTATATTTATATTTATATTTATCTGGAGAAACGCAGACACAGGAGAGTAGAGTCAATACTCAACCTCTGCTTCACCAGGAGAAGTCACGAGGAGAAACTGTGAGGAGCAGATGACTTTTCGGAGTCGGGGGTCCGTTTTTAACTTCCACAGCGAACCATCTGACTCTTTGTTCCTCCAACCTACGTCACCGGAGCCAACCATTTTCATATTTTCTGTGTTTGGAGTCGCGGCGCCAACGTCAACCCTTTAGAATTCCTTTAATCTTGAAGCAATATTACATTTCTAGGGAAATAGCCCGGAATTCCTTGCGGCCAGGTGGGGAGAAATTTGAGGAGATATTTATTTGTTTGGGGAAATATTCTGATAATTAAGGGCTGTGAAGTGGCCTCCTAGGTGCTCCATTGGCTTGGCTTTGGCACCTTTGGCGTCGTTCGTGGAGGACAAAGGGATCTCCCACTGGATTTGTATCCCAGGTTCCCCAACAACGACCCAAAGACGTTTTCTGACGGCCTTGTGGGCGTTCCCAAATATTCCTTCCTATTTTAATTGATTTTTTGGGATGCTTTTTGACTTTCATGGAACGACATCACCTTAGTATGGTGAACCAGAGGTCCTGAGGATTGACCATGTTATTAAATCTGGAGGTGTCTTTTGGTGGCAAACTATTAATATTTAAATCCAGCAACACTTTGCAAATTGAAAACATTAAAGAGTGTTTATGAAGTGCTTTGGTATTCAAAATTTGGAGGAAGCCTCAACATCCTGCTTGCTCATTATTACGCTTATTTCATATTCAAATTAATGCCAGAAATTAGGTGAAGGTCACGCAAGGAGTTCTGCCCTTAAGTGCATCGCTCCTCGCTATCGTTAACTTCTACACATGGTGATTCTTTGTGGAAAAAAATACCAGCAGGGTTCTTTTCGTGTTCACTTAATGCTCTTTTAGTGCTAATCCTGATAATTTCTTTATTTCCAGATCAAGTTGAGACTTGAATTCTCCACTTTGCTCTGCTGAACTGAAGTTAAACCCTCCAGTGCAAACAATGCAGGTGGACTTTTAAAAACATTCTTCCTGCTCCTGCAGCAGCATGGCTTTCATTTAGGAGCACTTTGGAATTAAGATTTATTTACAGTTCTGGTCCTTTTTCCTGAAGTTGATGAGGTTTAATGTAAAATCCAACCTTTACATTTCCTTTAAATAAAACCCTATGGTGCATCTTTCTACTGAACTCACATATTTTCAAACATTTGGGAAAGTTCTCCTTTATTTTTTCCCTAAAAATTTCTCTCTCTCCAATGACCCTGAGAAATCAGAAACGTCCTTTCTATCCTACAAAAAATAAATTTCGGATTTGACAACGGAGGCAATAAAATGGTATCAGGAATGTTGTTGGCCCAGAAAACGTTAAGATGAAAGAAACCTGTAATATTCGGGACATACGGGAGGCTGGGAACACAGTAATAATCCCAAACAATGAGGAAAATTACATTAATTGTAGATATGACGTGTACAGGCAAATTTGTTCTCCAACCAATAGGGCTCCAAACCTTTTGAATCCACAGGGCGTCTGAGATAAGCCAGGAGGGCAAAGCTGGAGTATAAAAAGGGTTGGGAGCTCAAGGCTCCTCATCAGCTCTCCTGCCTCCTCCTCCAGGTTAACTCGGTAAGATTTTCCTCCTTTCTTCCCCTGGACTGGGAATTTTCCTTTCAGAATTTCTGCTGGGCTCCTCTGAGCTCTCAGGTTTATCTCTTCTTTTCACCTGGGCTTGCTGGGTTCAACTTTGAGAGGTGCAGGTGGAACCTTCCTGCTCCTGTTGCTACCTGGGTTTCCAAAAAGGGATTTTTAGGGCAGCAGAGCTAGGAAAGGGTTTCCCCACCATGACTCTTGGGGAGTTTTTCCTTAATTTTTTTTTTTTAAGTGTGATTTTGGGTCTGTTTGGCTGCACAGACGTTCTTAGGTGTGTCCACACTCTGTGGTTTCTTCTGTGGGCTCTCAGCATTTCCAGGTGCAAATTAAAACGGGTGGAAAGCACTGAAATGGGTCTGATGGACCCAGAACCTGAAGGCTGTTATCACAGGAAAACTTTGGGAAGACTTTCCTGATGGAGTCAGGGATGCAGATCTCCATGAAAAGCTGACGTCCTAAAATAAAATTAGGGTTGCTAATTACTAACCAGGTTCTGTCAGAAAAAACCCTGAAGCAGCAGCAGCAGCAGCAAGGTTTTGATCTCTCTGATTCAATCATCAGGGGTTCCACCAATCCCAGAAATAGTTTGATACGAATATATTAAATCTATATGAATGTAGAATATAAAGCAATTTAAAGGCAGCGGATAAATGAGCAGATTATGCAAATGGGGCTTAATGAGGAGCTGAGGTCATAATTTTGCCTCTGCCCTTGGTCTCACGGGACCGGTGAGGAAGATTCCGAGCTCTGAGGCCGCTGCTACTCCTTGGAGTATTCACTCCTCCTCCTTTCCTCCCCGTTGCAGGTTTTACCTCCATCTCCCAAAGATGACTTTCCTCCAAAGCCAGTGCGACGACGACTGCTACTCCTCCTGCAACTACGGGAGCCTCTACGGCTACCGGGGCTACGACTGCGGCAGCCCCTGTGGCTACCGGGGCTACGGGAGCCTCTACGGCTCCCGCGGCCTCTACGGCTTCGGGGACCGCTACGGCTACGGCAGCTTGTACGGCTACCGGGGCATCTTCGGCTCCGGGGACTGCTACGGCTCCGGGGGGCTCTATGGGGGCTATAGGGGTTTCTACGGCTCTGGGGACTGCTCTGGATACCCCGGGTTTTACTCCAGCCGCTACGGGTACCCCTTCGGCTCCCGCTACGGCCAAAGGTTCGGCTACGGGGGCTGCTACAGCTTGTAAAGCCAGCGGGAGCGACCCCGAAACCCAGCCCGGGTTTTGGATTGGTGGAGTCCGGCAGAGTTTTGGGGACAAGAGCCACCCCCGGGGTGCTCCGAGAGCTCTGCGCTGCTGCTGAAGGGCTGGCGATGATTCGCCTTCATCCCGCTGCTGCTCCCGCGGTCCCGGCTCTCCTCTCGACCCAGATCTTCTCCTCAACGCTCCAAGCAAACCAGACGAAGAGTTCTCGGCAGTGCTGTACAAAATATTCCTTCTGACTGGATGATGTGGGTGTTATGTGACTTTGGGAGTGTGGTATTTCCGTTCTGTATCCTTTTTAAAATTATCTCTGCCATTCATTCCTATTAAAGGGTTTTTTTTTTCCTGCATCAATTCAGCATTTCTGGGTTTATTTGCCATTTAAGTTCCTCAAAGAGCTTGAAATCTTTGGTATCCCAAATCTTGGGGAAGCCTCAGCATCCTGTTTGCTCTTTCTTACGCTTATTTTAAATTAAAATTGACTGCAGAAATTAGGTGGAGGTCACACAAATCTGAAATCCTTCACAGGAAAATGATGAACTTTGTGAGCTTAGGGACTGGAGATGTCAAAGGCAACACTGGTGAGGTTGGACCTCAATCCCGTGTCCCGTGCCAAGAGGGAACTTTTCCAGGGAACAGGGGCAGGACAAGAGGGAACGGCCTCGAGCTGTGCCAGGGGAGGCTCAGGGTGGACATGAGGAGGAATTTCCTCATGTTCCTGGTAAGGGAGAATGAGGACATTTCAACTGTTTTTTTGTCTTTAGGACTATTTGCCTTTTCCCCAACATTTTCCCCCCCATCTTCTGGCTTTTAGCCCTTGGATTTAGTACGTGATTGTAACTGTACCTGTAAAAATGTGTTTTTTCACCTCAAATGGATTTTTTTCAGTTCTGTGTGGAAGATCAAGGGGGTGTTCTGAGTTTTCCAGGCTAAAATCTGCACAAGCAAAGCCACCACTTCCTCCTTGACACCTTTAACATTCATTTCAATTCAGTTTTTTAATGTTTTTTCTTATTTTTTTATGGCTGGGCATGAAATGTGTGTTAAATTGGAGAGTGATAGAAAACTGAGATGCTGAAACAAGAGCAGTTGAATTCAGTTTCCAGGAATTGGACAATATTCTGCTCAGCTGAACATTTTTCTGTATTCTCTATAGAGATCTGGGACTAAATGTTTTCTATCTTAAAACATTATCATAAAGGAGTATTCCAGCCCTGTTGTGATGAAGTTTTAGCTCTACCCCAGGGAAAACCAGCACATTTAACCTTAAATCTGGTAATAGCTTCAATTAAGAAAAGGAAATGGAGAAGTTTTGGTATTTCTTGAATTTCTGAGGGGTGGAAAAGAGTAAATTTATGGGGAGCAGCTGCTCTGAATGTGGAAGGGAAGGAAGAGCTTTGAATCACAGAATTCCAGGATCACTGAGGCTGGAAAAGCCCTCTGAGATCATCAATCCCAAGATGTGCCTGATCCCACCACACCAACACCCAGGAATTCCTTGGACGCCTCCAGGGATGGCCACTCCAAACCTCCCAGAGCCTGGCCACCCTTTTCCAGGAGGAATTCTCCCAAATTTCCCACCCTGAGCCTCCCCTGGCACAGCTCGAGGCCGTTCCCTCTTGCCCTGTCCCTGTTCCCTGAAATCAGACCCCAAATCCCCCCTGGAAGAGCCCAGAATTCCCTCTGGATCCCCTTTTTCTCCAGGCTGAACCTCCCCAGCTCCCTCAGGATTTTCCAGAACCTTCTCCTGCTGTTCCATCCCCATTCCCATCCCTGGACATTCTCCAGCCCCTCAATGTCCCCCTTGCCATGAGGGGCTCAGAGCTGGACATGGATTCAAGGACAGAAAGTCCCTTCGGAATTCCACAGCTCCCAGAATATCCACTCAAACCAAGGGCACAGGCAAGAAAAAAACTGGATCTCCAGAGTTTGTTTGGTTTTTTTTTTTAGCAAATGCAGAAAGTATTTACTAGAATAAGAAAAAGAGCTGGCACAGACACAGAAAGATTATAGTTTTGGGATGCTGGAAGCAGCTCCGGGAGATGAGTCACCGCACTCCAGAACATTCCTTTTTGCTGAAGCCCTGTTGTTCATCCTCCAGGACCTCGTAAATCCAGATCAAAGGCCAGACAGCCGTAACGCTCCCTCACCCAGGGCTGCAGCACCGTGCTGGAAGTGCTCATTGAAAATGCAGATGACACCAAATCTCATTTCACAGAGGTCCTCCAGCCCCATTGCAGCAACTCGAAGAAGTTTCACATGAATTGCAGATCGCCCCTCCCGCTGCTGTGGGAGGGTTCGAACGCAGAATATCAGGAGAGTGGAGAAAGGCAGGAAGGAGGAGGCGGAGAAGACAAGAAAAGCAGAAATTCCAAGAGGTTTCGGAGCACGGCAAAGCCCCCAAACTTCACCGTGGGGGCTCTGCGCTCCTGCGAACATCAACGGCGGGCTCAACCATTCGTCTTCCGTGGGTGCGGGTCGGTCGGCGGGGATTTTCCCGTGGGATCAGCAGCAGGGGTAGCAGCAGGAGTAGGAGCAGTACGAGGGGTAGCTGTAGCGCGTGGTGCAGCTCCGGGAGGTGCAGCAGCTGCCGTAGGAGCGGCGGTAGCAGCTCAGGGTGCGGGAGATGCAGGGCCTGCAGCTGTAGGTGCGGGTGCAGGTGCGGTAGCAGGGGGAGCAGCACAGGGTGTAGCAGCACGGGGAGTAGCAGCACGGGGAGTAGCAGCACGGGGAGTAGCAGCAGGACATCTTGGGGTGCAGGGGGTGCGGGCGAGCCTGGAACAGGGAGGGAGGAAAAGGGGGAGAAAAAGGAGCAGAGCTGTGGAGTGAGCCGGCTGGGGCTGGGTGGAAGTGTTGAGTGAATCCCTCAGGTTGGTGTGGGGTTTTCATGTCATGGATCCCCTGAACCCCAGGATCCCAGAATTTCAGAACCCTGGGGTCCCAGGATTCCACAACCCCGGGATCCCGAGATTCCAGAACCCCAGGATCCAAAATTCTGGAACCCCAAGATCCAAAATTTGGGAACCCCAGGATCCCAGGACTCCAGAACCCCAGGACCCCAGAATTTCAGAACCCCAGGATCCCAGAATTCTGGGATCCCAGGATTCCAGAACCCCAGGATCCAAAATTCTGGAACCCCAGGATCCAGGATTCCAGAACCCCAGGATCCATGATTCTGGAACCCCAGGATCCACAATTCTGGAACCCCGGGATCCCAGGATTCCGGAACCCCAGGATCCCAGCATCACTTGGAAAACACCTCCAATATCGAGTCCAACCTGCACCCAATCCCCAGCCCAGAGCTCTGCGTGCCACATCCAGCCCTTCCTTAGGATGTGGACCCCAAACCTCCCTTCCAGATCCTGAAAACCCTTTCCAATAAAAATAAAAATCCTTCCCGAAGAAGGAATTTGTGGGTGTTTGCTGCCCAGGCTCCCAGTGGAGGTGGCTGAGGTAAAACCCATCCGAGGGGTGTGAAGGAGTGCCAATGTCTGACTCGAACCCCTCACAGCGTTTTCTGGAGTTCTTAGAAGCGCTCATGCACAGCTCAAGGAGTTCATTCCGTCTCCAACCTCCCTGTCTGCTTTTAATCTTGGCACATAAACAATTCCTTCTCCTGGCTTTGTTAGTACCAGTTCTAGCAAGGACACTCTGCTGGACAGCGGAGGTTTAAACCCTGCAGCTCAGAGCTGCCCCGGGGACTCCAGAGGGACAAAAACAATTCCTGGGACTTTTCCATATTCCCCGTTGCAACATCCTGCTGCTAAAAGCCGTTTCCTCCTTGCACAACGACCCTGCCCGGGCCTGAAAATCCCGGGTGTCGCCAGGGGGAAAAAAAAAGAAACCCCCCCAAAAAAAGTAACTCAGTCTTTCCAAAGACATGGGAATGTCCACACGTCGATGCCCCCTAGATTAAAAAACATCCAGGGGAAAACACGCGATTTTCCCCCCAAGTTGAAGGATTCTCGGCGAGAACGGGATCTGGACTTACCGAGTTCAGCGGGAAGAGCAAAGCAAGAGGAGCCGTGTGAGGAGCGCTGGGCTTGGGAGCATTTTTATATTCCCATTGTGGAAGTCGGAGCAGCTCCCTGTGAGCTTCCCTCAGTCACGGGATAAATTTGGGAAGTACATCAGCAGCCCAATTGCTATAATTGTTTTCCTCCGCATTTAGGACGATTTTGGAATTCCTGGGGCTGGGCACTGTGATTACAGCCCGGGTGATTCTTTCATCTCCAGACTTTCCAGGACAAGGGCATTCCTGGGAAAGCACCCGGAGGACAGCTGGGAATGGGGCTGGAGGCTACGCAGAACAGCTCCAGCCACAATTCCTGGTCAGCTGGGAGCCCATGGATTGGTTCTTTACCTCGTGGCCCCCCAGGGGAGCTGGACACCGCACATTTTGGGGTGACGTAAAACACCCGGGGAGCGGAGGAGGGTTGCCCCCGAGTGCTCGGGGATTTCCGTCACAATTAATGACAGGCGTTCCATTGATTCCTTTAGGTTCTTCTCCTGCCTATAATTTGTCCTAGGAGAGGTTCAGGCCGAGGCATGGGATCAATTAAAGCAGCATCTGAGAAATGTGGTCAGTTTTTATGGTGTGGGGGTTTTTATTTTTGCCTTTTTTATTTTTTATTTTTTTTCCAGATGAAATTACTGGAAAAACTCGCTTGGGCCGGTGTCTCGTGATATCATTCACGTGTCTGATATTTATAGGGTTTATATATGGGATTTGTGGGCATGAGCTGGCGGCGTGAGCTCATCCCAGAATCCCTCCCTCTCCTGGGATGCATCCATGGGCAGGGGGTGAGGGAAGGGATTCTCCCCCTCTGCTCTTTCTGGTGAGATCCCACCGGGAATGCTGAGCCCAGTTCTGGGGTTCCCAACATAAAAGGGACGTGGAATTGTTGGAGGAAGTCCAGAGGGGACCACGGAGTTGATAAAGGCACTGGAGCCCTTCCCCTGTGGATCCAGGCTGGGAATGTTGGGAATGCTGAGCCTGTGGAGACCCCAGAGCCCCTCCCAGGATCTGCTGGGGCTCCGGGGAAGCTGGAGAGGGATTTTTCCTCTGGAACTGCAGGGACAGGAAACAGGGAATGGGGTCAGGGGGACAGAGGGGGAACCTGGGTGGGATGTTGGGAAGGAATTGTTCCATGTGAGGGCCTGGCTCAGGTTATTCCAGGGATTTTCCACCCCTGGAAGTCTCCAAAGCCAGGCTGGACGGGGCTTGGAGCAGCCTGGGGTAGTGGGAGGTGTCCTTTAGGAGACCTTTAAGGTCCCTTCCAACCCAATCCATCCCATGGTTCCGTATCCATAATAACGAGACGAGGATCTTCTCTTTTTTCTTTTAAAAAAACACCAACTTTCGGGGTCCTCCTCAGCTTTAGTGATGAAATCCAGGTCTCCTAAATTCAGAGGGGTTAAAATTACCAAACGATTTTCCTGGGCAGCCCCTACCTTGGATGGGAGGGATTTTCCTGAGGCAGGGAAGCAGGAATCACTCCCTGAGCTGCTGTGGTGGCATTTTCCAGCCGGCTGCAGCTGCATCCCTCTCACTCTGCTCCAGGGGACGTCAGGAATTGATTTAAATAGAGAAAAACCTCCCTTGGCCCCGGGGCTTCCTTCCCCGACCTGCTTGTGATACCCGAGGAGCCTTTCAGCAACAAACAGGGAGGGTTTAAATAACCCAAACATTCCCAAATTAACTCCTAATGACTGCTTTGGGAGGACATTGATACCATAAATTCTGATGAGGCTCAGCATTTCCCCGGTGCCTGTCATTATCCTCATTTAATATGCAAATGAGGCTTGTCTCACTGCGGGGGAAGGTCATACAGGGAGGTATTTGCTGAATTTTAAAAAAGCCTCTTGATTTGTGCTGGGAAGGCTGAAAAACAGCATTCGTAAGATTTGCTGCGAAATAATTCTGTAATTTTAACTCCTACAAATTCCCTTGTCCGCTCTGAAATCTGGATTTCATCACTAAAAATGAGGAGGAGCCAGAAGAGCTTTTAAGACAAAAAAAAATTGTGGGTATTTTTTTTTGTGTGTTTTCAGGTTGGGCAGAGAACAGATTAATGATCCCTGATGGAGAGTAAACCAATTATTTTAATTGAAGTTGTGACATGGGTAAATAAATTTAATTTTGTTGGTGTTTACACTGGTCAGATCATTTCTGAGCGACCAAAGCACCTCCCAAAGGGCTGAAGGGCACTGGAAGGGCCAGGAATTGTCCTGGGAAGTTCAGCTAACTCCAAAGTTCCTTCAGCGATCCAAATTAATGCAAAAATCTGGGTGTCCCAATCCCTGAAAATCCGAAATTGAGCTGAAGAAACTGGAATTCACTTCTCTGTCTAAAAACACAGGGACGAACTCAAGAAAGGGTTCGGTCATTAGGTGGAAATCTAATTTATAGAACATCTTGTTAATTACAGAAAGATGGAGTGAAATTCCCAAGGAATAATAAATTGAGGCATTTAATGAAGGGCTCTGATTGATGGGATGGGTTAAAACCTGTTTGTCCTCAGGAAACTTCAGTGCCTTTGTGTTTTGGTGGTTTTTTTTTTACATTCTATACAAAATTTAAATCTGAACATCTTGAAAAAATACATTCTGAGAACAGAAATCAGTCCAAATTTCTCTGACTCTGAAGCAGGAAAGTTTATTATTTACTCCATCAACCCTTCACTCCTTTTAAACTTTTAAACCAAATTCACGCCTAAACCAGAGCGGCTTTAAATAAGAAACGAATCCCTTCTGATGCTGAATTTGCACATCCGGATGAGCAGAGGAAAATGCTGATTTCCATATCCGGGATCTGCGCTCCTGCTCTTCCTTTGGGAAGGGTTTTAGCCTATGGTGAGGGCTGGCAGATGCTCACAGGATGTTATTCCAGGCCTTTCCCAGCTCTCCCGGAGCCCCTTTAGGCCCTGGAAGGAGCTCTGAGCTCTCGCTGGAGCTTCCCTTCCCTTCCCTTCCCTTCCCTTCCCTTCCCTTCCCGGCTCCGGAGCAGAGCCATCCAGCCCTGGGAACAGCTCCAGGTTCTGCTCTGGGAGGCTCCAGACCCCAATCCAGGACTCCAGAGGGGGATTTTGGTTCCCTGGAATGTCCCTCCTTCCCTCCCTTCCCTCCCTTTGGGGTCTCTCGTGTTCCCGGGACTGCCCTGGGGTGGCCGCGCTTCCTCCCGGCCTTTCCCGTGCTCTGCCCATCCCTCCCCCGGCAGCTCCTGGGGCTCTCCCGGGATTTCCTCGGCTCGGGAATCCCTCCCTGTCCTCCAGCAGCTCCTGCTGGGCTGCACAAAGCCCCTTCTCCGAGGCCTTGGAGCTGCGGGAAGCGGAGGGAGTCTGGAATTCTGTGTGTCGGAACATCCTGCAGCCTCAAGTGGGGCAGGACTTGGGCTGGAAATGTCGCCGGCAAGCCCTGATGCATTTTTTTCCCCTAAATCTTCACATTTTCCAGCTCGTGCTTTGGAAACTGGAATGTTTTTGTGGAAGAGGGGCAGAGCTGGGACGTGGCAAATGTGAGTTTTGGAGCAGACAGAAATGGAGGTGCTCAGTGTGTCCTCGGTCCCCTCAGATTCTGCTAAAAACCGCAGATCTGAGAAACCGGTGCCCCCCTTTAAAGTTCTTTTTTCCTGCGTGTGTCAGGTAAATAATTAGCAAAGTCAAATGAAATATTGAAAAGAACATTAAAATACAACCCAAGGCAGCAGTGTGATGCAAGATCTTTTAATGAGAGTAAGAAGTTGCAGCTTGTAGTAGCACAGGAGCAGCCAGAGGTTTACACACCATCATACACCGAGGAGTAGCTACACCTCACAGCAGAGGTTTGGGGAGTAAAGCTGGTGTTGGAGAAGAGCGGAGAGGCTCCTACTCCTGCTCTGCCCTCACACCTCAGAACACACAATAATCTCACCCCAAAAGATGGAGAAGAAACGGCAAAAAAAGCAAATTAATCAGAGTAACAACGGGCATCGAGGAGATTCCGAACCCTCAGGACCCATCACCGGGGCTGAGCCAGGGCAAAATCCACCCAGGAGCCTCCAGCGCGGATTTTGGGGGGTTTTCCTGCTCAGCACTGGTAGTAGGGGTAGCAGCTGCCGTAGGAGTATCTCTGGTAGTAGCGGGAGGAGTAGGGCGAGCAGTAGCGGGGGCTGAAGGAGGGGCAGCAGTCGCGGTAGCCACAGAGCCTCCCGTAGTAGCCCTGGTAGCCACAGGGGCTGCCGCAGTCGTAGCTGCGGGAGCTGAACACGGTCCCGTAGCTGCAGGGGGAGTAGCAGGAATCCTCACACTGCCGCTGGTAGCAGAAAGTCATCTTGGGGCTGGAGGGAGGCGAGGCTGAAAGGCAGGAAAGGAGGAATGGGAGATTTGGGGGAATGGTTTGGGTTGGGAGGGAATTAAAGTTCATCCGGTTCCACCCCTGCCACGGGCAGCGACACCTTCCTCCAGCCCAGGGCGCTCCAGCCTGACCTCGGACGCTTCCAGGGATGCGGAATCCATGGAATATCCTGTGCCAGGGCCTCCCCACCCTCCCAGGGGCTCGAATCTGGGGCTGCTGTCAGTTTGAAAGGTGAGGTCGGGTCTGTCCCGGAGATCCAGCGGGAATTCGCTGCTGTTGGGCAGCCCCGTGTGAGGGTGGAAAACAGGGACAGGAGAGAAGGATGATCCCAAATGAACCTTTCCATTCAAGGCCACCCTCTGCGGGAAGAACCTTTCCGTGATGTCCCACCTAACCCCCCCTGACACAGCTAATTAATAATAAATCCTGAAATAACCCGTAATACCCTCAAATAAAGCATTCCTCCTCGTGCATGTCTCGGGAAGCCAAATTCCTACATTTAGCATCTTAACACCCCGTTTTTAACAAAAACCCTGAACTGCACGGCCACGAAACCGCCTCTAAAACACAATTTTAAAGTTTTTCTTCCACCCCTACCCCGCCACGGCAAAACCCAGCAGCAACCCGGCCGCAAAACCCCTTAAGCCCGACTTACCACGCTGAGCAAGAGCCGAGGCTGA